GGCTAATACTTTTTTAGACCTTAGTGGAACTTCTAGAATTTATCCTATTATTGTTCCTTCAATGCATTGTGTTTTATCTGGTCAAGGCCAGCTTTGAAAAAACATGGAAATGCTCAGATATCAACAGAAAGGTAATATTTTATTATATGAGAACAAAAGAAGTACGTGGTATTAATAACTAGATAGTGTAATAGTATTAAAGATTTAAATATAAAAAGCTTAATTGTCCAATCCACACAAAACAATGTCTTTGATGGCGAAAGCGAACATGATACCGAAAATTCACATTATCGTAAGGACACTAGTCGAGACAAAGAAGGATGTCTATAGACCATCTATAGATCATGTCTTGAGACCGTGTCCAGACTGACGATATTTGGGGCTGGTAATTTTTTTACCTCAGTGGAACTTCTAGAATTTATCCTATTATTGCTCCTTAAATCAATTGTGTTCAATTTGTTCAATGCCAGCATGAAAAAAAAATATGGAAAGTGTTCAGAAATCCTCAGAAAGGCAATATTCTATTATATGAGAACAAAATAAGTACGCGGCATTTATAATTAACTAGTGTAATAACATTAAAGATTAAAACATAAAAAACTTAATTGCTCTGTTAACCAAAAAAAAAACATTTTTATATATTTGTATAAAAAACATTTGGTTTGGTTTGAGTAAGTCGCTTAGAAATCTATAACAGCCTGTATCTTGGCTTTGGGATATTTTAGGACCTATGCTTATAGTAACTTTTTTTATTTAAGGACGTACTTTCTACCTTTAACATACTTCCCGCTTTCCTAAAACATCCTGTATACAATTCTTCCATTTTCAGTTAATATTTGAAACCCATTTCTCATCATATGTTATTCAGCTTCTACTAAAATTAATTGAGCTTTAATTATAGTCAGTCTTGCAAAAAAACTATCGGACTTTGAAAGTCATAGCTACAATTAATATGCACTTAACGGTACAAAAATGAAAATAATTGAACATCTTCATGCATATCGCATTTCTGTTGTACATGTTCATTTAGCGATAAAACTGCAAGTAGCACGGTGCAGCCATCAGTTTGCATCAGCCAGGCAATAAATAACCTGTATGTGTGTGTGCGCCTCTCCACACTAATATATTATTAAACTAATGAAAACAACGCGAAGAGGTAGGATTTAGGTAAACAGGTGCATTGGCAGACATCAGATCTTAATGACCAGAGACAGAGACTTGAAGTCGTCAGCAAGGAAATGCTCCTGATGTGATTGATGCATAGTAACCTAGTTGATGACGCTGTGTACTTGAGGACATGTAATATGTAGATGAGGTAACAAACAGATGGTGATGCGTTTTAGTATGTACAGTGCCAACAGAGCTGTGGTCACATCAGGAAATGCACGAAGAGTCTGGAGAATTAAAAATTCGTGAATATAAGGAACCTGTATCAAATAAGGCCACGTTAACGTTTGGATAGCTGATGCATCATAAATATTTGTGAAACGATCATGATATTTTAAAGGTATCATTATAGGTATGTTTAGCGAATAAGCTCAATCGGAGAGGAATGAGAACTTTTCTTTCATAGAAAAAAAAAATATTTTTTGAAGCACTACCGTTGGCATTATTAGGACCTAGGTATCCAAATAAGGCTATGATCTGATTTTTAATAAAGCCACTCTCAAAATATAAAAAAAAGGTTGATCTTAGATTTTGCCTTCGTATTGATGACATTTGAATGGCGGTGGATGGTGAGTCTATATCCTTCTTCATCTATATTGTAGATGCGATGGGGCTGCTTTATTAAGCTTAGTTTTAACCAGCAAAGTTTCTAGCTTTTTGAAGTAGTCGTTTACAATGTGCTTATTCACTTTCTGTGCCCTTGCTGGATTTAAAATCTGTGCTTTTCTTTAGCGAATATTTTCATGTCTGTTCAAAAACAATTTCAACCATTTTCTATCTGCCATTCCACTATTTTCATTAAATGTGTGACTAATTTTTTTGTCATTAGCTTAGGAAAACACGGATTTTCGCAAAATCCTCATTGTAAAGGGCATTCCTGTCTCTGATAATAGGATTATCCTTATAGTTCATCTTCCTGCTTTGTAGACAAAATCGTACGAGTACCAAGTTTTCTCTCTCGCACACCTGTATGAACATGATTGCGAAGTGTTTTTCGTGGAATTTGGTATTCTCTGGATGCACGATTTACCGACATTCCACGGTTTATACTATCCAGTGCCTGTACAAGCGCTTCAGTTGACCACAGCGCCCTTTTCTTAGAAGGCATATTTCGATTATAGTACCTGAAAAAAAAATATCACCTCAATTTGAGACGCATCCCATAAAGGTCAGTGTGTTCGTAATAAGGCCAAGTGACCGTAATAAGAACCATTTAACAAGGCCCATGCATACGCACATCTAACAATACATAATATACAATTTACAAAATTGAAAAAATTATGCTCTATAGACTTGCCTGATTGAATTAACAAGAGATTTCGCAAAAAGAAGCCGACAACATGCAAAAACGGAGACAAATTTAAAGCAGAAATTTTTTGAGGCACATGTCGAAAACTGACGCTGTCCTACTACGCTATCTAGCGCCGCTCCACAGCTGTTAAATTTATGGCTGCTAACTGCTCTCAATAAATTTGTAGAACTGCAGAAATCTTTAATTTTAAATAATAATAATGTCTTTATTAATCCCTCCACACTGCGAGGCGGCTACTCTACCACTTAAACTTACAGCGCAGGAACACATACAAAAGGAAAAGCATAACAATGAATAGCAATCGACTAAATAATATATACAATAATTAAGCTTAAATAGATTAATCTTAATATGTTGTACATCTATTCCACATAGCCCGCTCTAACAAAAAAAAACAATAAAGACAAAAAAATATAAATATATCACCCAGCTTGGCTAGCAGACCCCAGAAGGTGGTTCTTAATGGCTCTCTTGAAAGCAAGTATTCCCATCTTTTGTAATTGTCATTAAGACTATTGTACACCTTGACAGCGTTGTAGGTGAAGCTACGATGGAAAATGTTGCTCCTATAACTAGGTTTATGGAAGTCAGAGTTATGTCTCAGATTCCTGTAATTGAGACCCCACGTGGTACCAGCCTTTTTAGTAGATAAGTAGGTTGATTTTTATTCGTTGTACTAAAATTAGTAAGTTATATATGAAAAGATGGTCAACCCTCAACCATCTAAGCTCATTGATCTTCTTAGACACATGGCTAAACTTTCGCAGACCACAAACGAACCTACAGCAGCTATTTTGAATTTTTTGTACTCGATATCTAGTCACGTAATCAAGACAAGGAAAGTAAACAGCAATTGAATAATCTATTAACGATAGAACCAGAGTCTCAGCCATTTTTTTGCGAGTCTTGAAATTCAGAATATGGCGATTGGTGTATAATAACTTCAAACGCATGTATGTTAAGCGAGATAAATGCGTAACATGTTGCTTAAACCTCAAATCTGAATCTATGGTGATCCCTAAATACTTCGCATGGTCTACTATAGGAATATGGGTTTCGTTAAGACTAGGAACAATTGTGCCATCTAACCGTTGTACTAACTGTTTTGGGCCAAATAGCATAGTAGAACATTTTGAAGCTTTGATCTTCAGACAATGTCTTTTGCAGTACTCTTCAATGTTAACTAGATCTAAGTTCAATTTATATGATGCTTCATGCATGTCCGAAGAATCAAAAGACAGAGTTAGCTGCGTGTCATCTGCATACGTTTGAATATTACAGTGCTGAAGGCAAGTATGTAGATCAAAAGTATAAACTAAATAGAGTAATGGTCCCAACACAGAGCCTTGAGGTACGCCAGATGCCACACTCTTTGCCGAAGAAAATCCCTTACGTGTTGTCATCTTCTGGGTACGATTGCGCAAATACGAATCGAAGAAACGTAGTGGCTTGTCAGAGAGACCATAAAATTTGAGCTTACTCAAGAGAATACCATGATGTACCATATCAAAGGCCTTAGAGAAGTCTAGCAGAATCAGAGCTATTCCTATCTGATCATCTACATTTTTGATGATATCATCCGTAATGTTTAATAGAGCGGTTGTTGTGCTATGCCCTGTACGGGAACCAGACTGTTGTTAATAGTTTCTGTAAAATCGACGAATGGCCTTATTAGGTGCTTGGCCTTATTTGGTACAGGTACCTTACAGTGAGTACTGACGGTTCAATGTTTACGAGAGAGAAGCGCGAGAAGTGTGTAAAAATGCATGCGATAGACAGAGAGAAGAGAGCGAAGCTTATCACCACGTTGCTTAGCAACGCGGGCGCGGAAGGACGCGGCAATCTGCCGTATTGCCAATATGTTGCACAAGTTCCTTGAGCTATGATGCATGCTCATGATATGCGTTAGTTTATTCTGTACCCTCAAATAATAGTTCTATTTTGAGCATACACAGTTTTGAATTGTGAATTGTGTCGAATCTGTTTAGAATCGATTCCGGACCGGTCCTAACGGCGCTTCATTTTAGGTCAAAATGAAAGGTCAGGAGCGTCACAAATTCTGCAACATTGCATCAAGGGCTCGTTTGCAACACCGCATCTCGTACATTCCAAGGCCAAACTCGAATTTCACTGTGAATGCTGAAAAACTCATTTCGTATGAAAGGATTTGAAGTAAAAAATCTGCAAAACATGTTTTTTTATCATCAATAATTCTACAAATATAAGGACATGAAAACTGTTCAAGTTCCACTGCTTTTGGATCTGGATAATCTTATTTTATCCTTTGAAAATGTTCACTACAGTTGCTGTAATTAGGCACGCCAATTTTCATACTGGTCGGGGAAACAACGGGTTATTGTCAAATGTATTTATTTCGGATTAACACTGTTTATTTCGTATTCGGTTCTATTTGCTATTACATTGTCGCCACAACAGCGTGTGGTAATTTTATTCTTTGGGTTATTGTCAGATTATTTTTTTTGTAAAAATTAAATGAAACTGCTCAGTCAAATAATTGTTATCCCTATGAAACTGCTACACTGCTCATGTTATGCAAACTCAATGAGGAAATGGTGTATCTGCAACCTAAAACAGTTCCGTAATCTATGAAAAGATGATTGCATGCTGACGTGCAACTTCTACTGATAAAAAATGTTATTTTCCAAAGTTTAGTTTATCTGTCTTCAAACCGTAGTAATTACTCCAAAAACTGTATGCATTTTTTGTTGGAGTCACATTCACCATTTTTTAATTACCATGTATTAGTTTTATCATTGATTAACATATTCAACCAGCCAGGGGTAGACTATCTTCAAGTGGTAAAGTTGGCTTAGCGACAGCGCTCTTGAGGTTCTGAGCTTAATTGAATGAAATAATATTGGAAGAGTTTGTAATTAATTGAAAACCGGCTGCGTCCAGCTCTCCAATAGCAGCAATCTATTTTACTGCAAAAAGTGGTAGCCCTGTACGTCTGGGGACCATATATGACTGAAGCTTGTGCAATCAAAAGCGATGTAAATTAAGAGTTGTACCTTAGAAACGGTAGCCGAAGTCTCATAGCCGTAGATCTGGAAGCATTGCTTTGCATGTCCTTCTGGGCTCTCATGTCTTCACGTTCGTGTGGCGCTCAAGTTTCATCTTGCCTTCAGTGAATATTAGCTTCTAACCATCTGAAAAAATTACACAATATAAAATTCAATTCGAGCTTGTTGCAACCCCTACCACTGCTACATCCTACGCTACTGCGGTGGACATGCAAAAGAGCGAAATCCATTCAAACATCCACACACACCTATCCGTAATTACTTTTCAGATTTGCCATCGTTTAAAACTAATACCAACAGCAGCGTATAGCTTCGGAGCACAGCACAGCTACCCCTCTCACCCCTATCACCCTTCGGATGACCCCCTTGCACCCGCAGCCTAGCGCCGCGATGTGACCAAATATTTGCCGGGCAAACACGCAAACATTCGTCCTGTAGCTCGCGGGGGTGGCTGTGGAGGGGAGGGGTTGGTAACATGGCGCGCAAACTCACCCCCTTGCCACGGCAGGCGCTAGCAACCCTTCAATTGTCTGTCGTTCAGTTACAGCTGGCTCTAGGCCGTACAGAGCAACTCTGTTGAGTCGGTGTGAGGCTATTTTCGGATGTTTTTTGGACATGCAAGATGTTATGAGTTTGTGAGGTGGGGTGCGTGGACTCCATTTTCTGAAATTTAATGTGTAAGTACTTTGAGTTTTCACCACCTACACATTTTTTTTCAAAATGACCAATTTGTTTTTTTTTTCAACTGTACTGTGAAAATTTTTTGAGATATGTTGTACACATATGTTGGTCAAGTTTGGTCTACTTAGAAAAGCTTACAACACAACCAATATTTAGGGGATTGTCAAAAGATCAGATGAGCTTCCAGCAGCAACTATACTCTCCACTTGCTATAAAATCTCCTACAAATCGGCGAGGACTCAAAAATATTGTGTATACTCAATCAAGTTGTTCATAATACGTAATTGAACTGTAGTGCTACTTTTACACAATTGTGTGCTGGAAAGAATAAAGCGAAATACTAAGATTGATTTATCTTCGCAGCAAAACGATTAAAATATTATAATTCTATGCTTTCAATTCATATCAATATTTGTAATATAACTTTTATTTATCGGTCTAAAATTATCTGATTTTTTGATATGTCCTAATTGTAAAACTGCTGTGTGCTATCATCTGAACGTTTTGGAACAAACTAATAAAGTTCTAAAAAACAATCCGTACCCCAAGGGCACCTAACTATAGGTACTTCATGAACTGCTAATAAAGAAAAGAAAATTTAATTTTTTTGGAAGCTTTTGATATATCCAAAACTTTATAAGCTCAAATGTTTCGGTCATACTGGAAATAACAGAAACCGCAGTAAAATAAAATATTTAATGATTTTTGAATTAGCAAATATAAGGTATTAATTTTATTTGATAAAATTCGCTTCAAAGCAACAGCTGGAGAGTCCCGAACATGTACTTCTACTTCTAATACTATATGGCAAGTAGTGCGTCGACCTGATTTACCCTATGTCCAGTTTATCTTGAGCTGCCCTCGTATACTCACATTATAAGAAATACTGCACAAATTCATCTCGCCAGCCTGATTGAGCAAATAGTCTTTTCAAACTCGATCCAAACCAATCCAAGCTTTGCTCATCAGAGGAGATAAACATTATGTCTGATTGGACTTTTATACGATAATAGATATACATGGTGTCCCAGAATAGTATGTCCAACTCTCGTATGCACATAGAACACAAAACGTGGCGTCAGGTAGGTTGACTCGGTACTTCCTATGCAACGCTGTCATCGGTTCAGAACAAGTTAAACACACTGAGAAAAAAATGAGTTACGAATATGTACAATAGAAAAAAAAGAACTATGTCTGTCAGGTACTGGGAGTTATCGAGGTGGGAGCATATAATTTTTCAAAAAATGGCGTCTAGTAGGTTGAGTCTGCACTTCCTTTGCAACGCCGTTATCCTTTCATGTTCTTCTGCCAGTTATCGTCCCATATAGTCAGCGCTTAGCGAGCACCACCACAGTACTAGCAGGACAATTGTGCAAATCGAAAATACCTCTATCATTCTAAGTTTTAACGACAGATGAAGGGGAAACCTATTATTTGTGAATTATGGTCAATAGGTGCGCATAATTACAGGGGCTGGGAACGTATAAATATACTAATACAAAAAATGAGATATACTTTTCCCCACCCAAATCCTCTAATTTTTATCAATATGTTCATGATGTTATCAAAAATGATCAGGATCCTCTGAAGTTTGGCCACGGATTAGCAGACAGACAGACAGAAAGAGAGAAAGACAGACAGACCAAATGACGAAAATGAGTGACATGGCTTTTCGGGATGTACATGTCATATAGTAACAAAAAATATAAAGCTTCCTCTGTTGCGTAGGAAGTAAAAAAGGATGCCAATATCGCATACTCGTATAAAAAATGTCGTACTGAGGAACCGACACTACTGGGAATCGGTTTTTCTTAATTAACGTTCGAACGAAGTTGACGAATTTTTGACAGGTTTGTGACTAATCTAGGTCCCAGTTAATTGTATTCGTGGAAAACGACTAATTCATTTGGATGTCCAGGGAGGGTTTATCCCTACGCAATGTTAAATGCTAAAATTTTTCACACTATCATAATAGCACAACGGTAACATATTTTCAATGGTTGATCTTAGAGCTGAAAGAAATGTGTTCTTGTTTGACAAGGACCGAGTACGGGGGTCAAGGCATAGAGAAGATAGAGGTAAAAAGAGCCCGGCATGTGGTCCACTGGCTGACTCCTCGTGATTGCGGGATTTCACACAATATGTTGCGTTAGGGCTAGTACTTTCCTGGCGATAAATGAGTTAACCTTTAACTATCGACGCGCTGTCCTCACAGTTTACAATATTCGTGTAATTTTAAATGCAGTTAAGACTAAAATGGTTGGAATGCGTAAGAAAATGAATAAGTTTTTCTTATACTCCAGCTACCACGAAGGCCTAAGCCCTAAACACTCATGGGATACCGTAGGGGGGACACTTGTATATTAATTTGACCTTGAAATATAGCTGTCTCTAAGAATGGAATTGTTACAAAGAAACGTGCACAGGTAAACGGTTATTGTTTTACGGAAACTTGTGGCGTTATTTGTTGTGTTTGATATTTTCATGCTTTCTGGGACACCCCGTATCACTTTGCCTTCATTTTTCTCCAGTATCCATAACTGTACTCATTCAGTACATTATGATGTAGGAAGTGCTTGATGAGACTGAAATGGTACAGATATCGTGGAATAGTGATCTAAATGGCTGCGTTTTTGATAGCCAGCAACAGATTATACATTATTTCAGCCTGGACTATACGTACATACTACGAGTATAATGGACCCCTATTTTTAGAAATAAACTGTTTGCTTAGACGTAGATTCAAGTAGTGGGCGGTGTCTACAACTTCACCATACTTCGCGTTAACGTCTTTTCTGTGATGAACGGAGTGCCTGGAAAAGCGTGTAACGATATTTGGTGTGCACGTAAGCAGGAATGCCAATTGAAATAGAGGATAATTAAAAAAACAGTAATATTTGTAGTACAGAAAGTACGTTAACACTGAAAGATCTGATAAGGATGGGTCCAACTGCTTCCTTAACAAGATGCAGGCTGTTGACGTTATGATTTCGAAATCAAGAAATCATTGTTACTGGTGAATGAAAATATCAACTCTATATTTTGTTGAAAAACATACCAACACATACAAAAAACTCCGCTCAGATTCCATACTTTCTTCGCCACTGACTTTTCATAAACATCTATTGCGCAATTTTAATGAAAGATTCAACTTCATGTAGATCGGGCATAATTTTGGGCATTTACAATGCCTTACTTATTGTTTGCTTCCAATTAGGATGATTCATCATGATTTTGGTCTACGGGACAATTCTGGACGATGTACATATATATGCATTCTTGATTGGCTAATATGTATAGGAAATAAGGAGATTTTGAAGAACAAAATTTTACAATCAGTCAACAGAAAATGTTTTTGGTGATATCATTAGAATATAACTCTCAAGATGATATTGGCGCCTTTTTTAAACGGGTTCGAGTAAATATCTCGAAAACTATTGATCCTATGTAAAAAAGCAATAGAAACGATTTTCTAGGGAATTAAATTCTCTATCATTAATATTATAGAACTTTTATATGTATAGTTAACAGTTTACGAGAAATCCATAGACAAAGCTACATGTAAAGCTGTTTCCGTTTATAATGGCTAAATTAAAAATCTAAGCGTATAAACACTACAATCTAACGTTTTTTCGAAATCTTGATGGTTCTAAAAGTATAAGAAGTGAAAGTTACATGTTTGTATCTAAACAATTGCTGTGAATGCATTTTTTACTGTCACGTGTAGGTATAAAGGTTAAATGACTCACTTCAGTCTCTCTGTCTATCGGCGATTTTGTCACTGCGTAACTTCCGCAACCATTGCAGTGATTTTCATGGAAGGGGAGATGCAGAAGAAAATTCTGGTTGACGCTCCCCTTCAAGGAAAATTGTTGTAACTGATGTTGAAAGTAGACAGTGGCGAAATGGCCAATCAACATATTGATGGAAGTGGGAAACTTGCATTATCATGATGAAGACATCAGAAATTATCCGAAAACATTGAAATTAAGAATTTTCAGACCTGGGGGGCTGACGATCGCTTGCTTAAGCACTTAAGCAAATGTCTGGGCAAATGATTTTGTAACAATTGAAGAGCGTAGGTGAGATACGTCTAGGGGGGTGCACGTCTTACGATTCAAGTCTAGCAAGGTAATTATCACACCAACATATGCCATTTTCTTGAAAAAAATGGCAAAATTGGGCGTCAGCGCGCACCCTTGTCCTCCTTTTAAATCCGCCCTTAATCTGAGTAATTTTTTGCATGCAACGGTCATCTATTATTCAACGGCTATGAAATTCTTGTGCCTTGACATGATACCGTAAAGTAGAATAGGCCTTAGTGAGAAACAGTAAACTTGATTTAATAAAAATGGAAATTATAGACTTTGAATGTCCACCATCTGAGTTAACCTTCGTACGTTCTGGTATCGTCACCGGCCATCAAAACGCTTACTGTAATTCGTGTGTTGGAATAAATATGATTCAAATTGTTTTAAAATAATCATATTACTGGGTAGCTGGTGTTGCTGAAGTCAGAGACGTAAATAAATGTAAAGTATGTGTGATATTGTGTATTGTTACTGGGATCACAAATTTCTACTAGAGATGCAACATTTGCAACCTCTCATCCGCTACAACCTCCAACCCGCAACCTTAATCCCTTCCATATTTTTGTTGAATATAATTAGGAGCACATGAAATGTCAAAACGAACCTGAAAAGGCAAAGATTTTCATTCGTTCAGTTAAATTTCATTAAAATCCAACACTTACTTTCCAAGTCGCGGGGTCACTTAATAGCGTTGTCACACCATGCCACATAACATGCAAAAAACAGGATATTTCTGGAAATGATAATTTAATTGCTTATAAAACTGTTCTAAATACTTTTTATGTTCATGGGATATTTGATCAAACACGTTTATCAAAATGGCGTTCATTGCCCAAGTCCCATTATAACGCCATTTTTGATTTATCTTTACAAACCAGTTTTCTAACAATA